AAACAGAAGTTAAGTGACTTGCCAGGGTCAAATAGCTACTATATCTGAGGCAAGATATGAGTTCAAGTCTTCCTGATTCCAGACACAGCTCTCTATCCACTATGCCACCTAGCTGCTTAATGTCTTAGCAGTACTCATGATTTAGACTGGCACACACTTGTTAAGTCAATGAATGACCTGAAAATGTATAGAGACACATATTCCACCCAAATCAATCAGAAACTACAATAGCTTGCTAGGGTCTAGAAGGCTGAGGGCAGAAATTGAGTTTGGTATTCACAGCCACAGATCTGTACCTTTGTAGGAGAAAGGAGAAGGAAGAAACCATTAATTTCCTCTCCCTTTTTTGAACACCTGACCTCAGGGTAGGCTTTTCAAGCTCTCCTGATTTTTCTTAGCTTCTTTCTCTTTTTTTCCACCTCTGAACCTTCAAATCTTCTAAAAGGTCTAACGATTCCCATCTTTCTTCTCCTGTGACTCCCCATTCCCTGTTTGAGCATCAACAACTCACCTAAGGGGCATAGTTATTGCTGCAGGATTTTTCACACCTCATTGTCATCTTTCCCTAACAATCAGTAGTATAGCTTCAGCACATTGCAGGAAGCCTAGCCAAACCTGGAGATTCTTGCTCCATTCTGATTTGAGGATAGAAGGATGGCCATTTTGTGTGCCACATGAAATTTTACACTAGACTGAAGAAATGAAGATATCACATGTCACTTCTGAGAGACTGCCAAGTACTGCCTAGAACCAGGCCCTAAGCCTCACTGACAGCTCTGAAATGTTTTGATCTTGTGGTTATATTGACTACATTTTCAGAAACAAAAATCTGACCAAGGACAGTTATTTTGCAAAGCCTAATTAAAAGTACACCTTTTCTTGAAATGAACATATCAGAAAAATCTAGGCTATATGACCACCATTTTGTTGTCTCACCTGCTTAATGACTGAAACTGATTGTCACACTCCACTCCAGCCCAGCCCAGCCCAACTGCTGCTGCAGACAGTATGAACAACGTCTCTTGACTTTGAGTTCCTGAAGGTCCACTCAGGAGGGCAACGGGATGGGGAGTATGAGTGAGCAGTGTGAAGAAGAGAACAGTCAGATGTCACCAGGTCTAAGCTGCAGTGTTTTGTGAGGATTTATTCCATGAGATGGGATGGTAAATTCAGATGAGATATGTTGAAATCCAATTCAGTGACCATTTGTTAAGTGCCTTTTAGGTAGAAGGAACTATCCCTAGGTGCTAAGGATACAAAGACAAAATGAAAAACAGTCTCTGCCCTGAAGAAGCTTACCTTCTAGTAGTAGGACAAAACACACATAAATATATACATTGAAAGCTAATGGATTGCCCATCAATTGGGGAATGGCCGAAAAAATAATGCTTTATGAATATAATGAAATCGTATTGTGCTCTAAGAAATGACAAAAGGAATGGTTTCAGAGAAACTGACTTGTATGAATTAATGCAGAGTGAAGTAAGCAGAACCAAGAGAACAATTTATACAATAACATTATAAAGAAAAACAACATTGAAAGACTTAAGAACTCTGATCAATGCATTGATCAACCATAATTCCAGAAGACCAGTGATGAGAATGCTACCCACTTTCTAATAGAGAAGTAATGGATACAGTACATAGAATGAGATACACATTTTTGGATCCAGCCAATGTGGACATTTATTTTGCTTGATGATTCATATGTGTTACAAGAGTTTTATTTATTTATTAATTTATTCTTCTTTTAGGAGGGTGTGGTGAGGAAGAAGGAAGAAGAGAGGTGGAAAAGAAAGAAAATAAATGCTTGTTAATTTAAAAAATAAAATTTAATCTTAAAAATTATACACATGATAATTTTAGAAGGAGAAAGAATTCTAACAACATTTGGGGAAAAAAAACTTTCTCATAGAAGGAGCAAATAAGCTAGAACTAGGAGGAAGCTAGGGATTCTAAAAGGAGGAAGGAAGGAAGGAATAAATTCCAGGTATTAGGGACAGCTTTGCAAAAACAGAGGCAGGAGATCAGACCAGGAACATAAGCTGAGTTGCTAAGTTAAGATTAAGGCATCTTAGTAAATATAATAGAATTGAAGGGATATCTAAGAAGCAGCAGGGGAAAAAATGCTTGTTCGTTCAAGGATTCCCAAAAGTAGTCTGCTTTTCAGGGCTTGCAAATTTGGGACTGATGGATCAGATACAGATAATAATCAACTAATATTTAAGCTGATCTGTTGTTTTCTAAAATCCAGATAATTATTTGATGCGCCTGGGACTTTGTTTCAATATCTAGTTGATATGATCAATGAAAATAATTATTTTTTAACTTCCATGAGTCTGAAGGGATGTTCCCATCATTTTGGCCCTTTGTGGCCAGATTTCTAATACCTTGCATCTTATTTGACCGTGCTGATGATAAAGCAGGAGCAATTAATGTTTCTTGATTCCCTAAGTCTTTTCTAATCATTATAGGATAGCTTATTTAAATTTGCTACAAGTCCAATCATGTATTTTAAATCAGTAGTTATGTGCTCCAATCAGGTAATTTTCCCTTTGTTGGAATTCTCTTGATTAGGGAATCTTATGGGTAATTGCTGGGAAATGTGTCAGACTTGTAGTTTATAATAACAGGTGCATATCCAAATAAGACCAATCAACACCCAACTAATTGCTGAAACCATAAATTATAAAGACAGTTACCTTAAAAAAAAAGATTAAGAAATTAAGATTTCTCTGCCTTTTTGTTATAAACCAGTGGTTCTTAACCTTTATTGGGTCACAGACTCTTTTGGCAGTCTGGTAAAGCCTATGGACCCCTACTCAGGATAATGGTTTTAAATGCATAAAATATATAAGATTATAAAGAAAACCAATCATATTGAAGCACAATTTTCAGAAATCAGTTTTCAAAATATTAATAAAACAAATAAATTGATCCTGGGTTAAGAATCCCTGCCAAATCCCTTGAAAAAGATAGGGCAATATTGGGTACAGGAAGATGGTGCAGTGTCAGACATGACTGAAAAGTGACTGAATAACAACAACTGGGTGCAGGAATCTGCCCAGTACATGCCAAATTGGGAAAGGGAATGATGATAACTCACACTTAGGGCTTTAAGATTTATGAATCACTTTCTAAAGATAACCCCATGAGATTGGTATCAAATGAAATAATGTATGTCAAATGCTTTGCAAATGTCAAAGTGTTATGTAAGTTGTCACTTATCCTTATTACCAGCAGGAATGCAAATATTATTATCTCCATTTTACAGATAAGGATACTGAGGCTCAGGAAGAGTAAGTGTTATTGACAAAGTCATTGGCAAGGAAGTGGTACACATGGGACTTGACCTCATATCCTCTGACTCCAAGTCCAGAGTTCTTTCCATTATACCACACAGTTTTTGTTGTTATGAAGTCATACTCGTGTCTATCTCTTTGTGATCCCATTTGGGGTTTTCTTGGCAAAGATACGGGAGTGCTTTGCCACTTCCTTCTTCAGTTCATTTTATAGATGAGGAAGCTGAGGCAAACAGGGTTAAGTGATTTGCCCACGGTCACACACTAGTAAGTGTCTGAGGCTGGATTTGAACTCAGGTCTGACTCCAGGTCTGGTGCTCTATCCACTGTACCGCTTAGCTACCCACACAGCTTTTAAGCAACTAATTCATTTCATTTTATGAATATGTATAAATGTTTATTGACATATAGAACTCTTTTCCCTAGTCTTCTTTGTGGGAAGGCAATGTCTGAAACCTGTAAGAGACACTGCAGCCATGTGGGGCCATCAGTTCAGCCATTTGTTGAACCTGTCCCCATAATTGAATTGACTGGTTAGCTACTGGACTGAATTTGCTGGTCATAGCAGTCAAACAGTTGAACCAAGTAACTCAAGTAGATATAACATTTATTTAGAGGACTCTCTATTACCAAAGATAACTCCTTGGTTTTTTTTTTCCTGTACTCCATTTATCTACCAGTAAGGGGGGGGGAGAGATAAATAACACATGAACAGCATTAAATTTATATTCCCTGTGATACTGTAACAACTTGAGAAAGTTCTCCAGCACACTGGAGAGATTCTTTATGAAAATGTTATGGAAAAGACATGCATAAGAATTATACAGGAGGAGAAGGTAGTGAGGGGTTACCATCTGTACCAGTAGAAGGAATATTCACATCAGTGAGATCACAGATCCATCTAAATAACTAATTTATTGGGAAATAAGGTATTATTCATCAGATGTAAGAGGTGCATTTCTTGAGTTAGGAGTTGTATACTTGCAAAGAATCTTAAGAGGTCATGTAGTCTCGACTTGTACTTTCTGGCAAGACAGCCCTTAAACCATTCCAAGGTAGCACAGTGGATAAAGTGCTCTACTTAGAATCAAGAAGATCTGAATTCAAATCCTGCCTCTATCGCTTACTAGCTGTATAACCATGGGCAAATCACTTAATCTCTCTCACCCTCAGTTTCCTTATCTGTAAAATGGGGATAATAATGATATTTGCTTGACAAGATTATTGTGAAGATCAGATGAGATAATGTAAAAAAAAAAAGCCCTCTGTAAATGCTAGCTACATTAGCTATCATAGTAATAAGAAGCTACCTTGTTTTAAAGTCCTCCCTATAACTTTCCCCTAAGAACCCATTTCACTGTTTAACAGACTGGAAAATTTTCCCTAAAAATTCCTCAGGCTGCAGCTTAACAGCATGTCCCTGCTTAAGGTTTAATTGAAACTGTATTTCCTTCTTGACGCCCTTTCACCCCCTACATGGCACTAGTTGCCTCTTTCTGGAAGAGATATGGGAAATAGTTTCCTTCATGTGGAAAGTCTCCATTCTCCAGCTCAGAATGTCTACATTCTAATAACCTGGGGCAGAAGATGAAAGTGACAACCCTCTCTGAATGGAAGCCCAGAACCTTCAAAAGTCTCTGACTCATCAGAAAACTGGCCAGCTTTATTTGACAATAGCTTTTTGGTTTTTGCTTGCAGGGTGTACTACTGGAACCACAAATGTTGAGCAAAAGATGAAGGAAATAAGGGATGTTAAGAAAGATGGAAAAGTAAGAAAATGGCAGCAAGCATCCCTTGGTCTGCCCCAGAGGCGAGCAGAGTGTGATCAGACAGTTTTCCGAGTGCATAAAGGAGTCAAAGTATTTTCCTTCTGTAAAAGGAACAACTTGCTACTAACGGGTGGAATGGATCGAATAATTCGAATCTGGAACCCTTACATTCCTGGGTAAGGTTTCTGACTACACTCTGGGACATATTATATGCTGCCAGGTCGACAAAAAATAACCCTGGAGTTTCTTAAGTAGAATTTAAGTATCTTGAAGAAGTCCCTTCAGCAGCCAAAAATATCTCCTTACTACCACCCAGTTCTTCATTTTGTGACCATTAAAAATTCAGCCTTTTGGGTTAAGAACTCTTCTTTTAAAATGCAAATATTCTGGGAAGTTTCTTCAATAAGCATCCATTGTTTGTTAAGCTTGTACCCGTGAAGAGCAATGTGCTAGATGCAAAGTTGAAAAAACAATATAATCTTTTCCAGTCATTTTTTTTAGTTGTGCTCAGCTATTCATGACCCCATTTGAGGCTTTCTTGGCAAAGATAATAGAGTGGTTTGCCATTTCCTTCTCCAGCTCATTTTACAAATGAAGAAACTGAGGCAAACAGAGTGAAATGACTTGCCCAGGATCACACAGCTAATAAGTGTCTGAGGCCAGATTTGAACTCAGGAAGATGAGTCTTCCTGATGCCAGGCCCAGCACTCTTTCCACTGTGCCACCTTTATAATCTTTACTAATATAATCTAATATTTATATATAATCTTTACCCTTAAGGAATTTACAATCTAATAAGAGAGGAAAGATGTATTCACAATAATAATGTTATGTTCATCCCAATTCTGTCACTTACTAGCTGTATGATCTTAAAAAACTCACCTGATTTTTCTGAGCCTCAGACAACTCACTTTGCATTTCGAAGCCTCAGTTTTCTTATTTGTAAAATAATAATGTCTATAGTACTTAGCTCACAGGGTGAGGTCTAAGTGGGGTAATGAATGTCATATGCTTTGTAAACCTTAATGTCCTATATAAATGTTAGTTATTGTTGTTATAAGTATTTTCATCCCTATTTTACAAACAAGGAAACAGATAAAATGACTTGCCCAGGACCACCCAAGTGGTAAATGTATTAACCAGAACTGAAACCTAGTTCTTCTACTAAGACATGCCTGTTACTCTTACAGTAAGTATAGCATGCCACCACTGTATGTCTGCCCCCGTAGCTGAACTATGAAAAAGGCAAATGGGAGGTTTCAAAAATGTACCACAAGAATTTTGAAAGGAAAAGGTCTCTTTCAATGGTGGGAATGAGGCAGATAACTTCATGGAGAAAAATGGTGCCTGCGCTAAATGCAAGTGCAGAATTTTAAAGGAAGACTTAGAGGAAAGTAAGGGTTTCAACAGACAGAGATGTGGAAGGATGTATCTCAGGCAAAGGGAATGGCCTCTGCGAATACACAAAGGCTGGAGAGGCAGGATGAAATTGCAAAATAGCAAGGAATCTAATTTGGCCAGAATATTGTCTGTGCAAAAACAGGGATGCAAAATGAGGCTGGAAAGGTAGGTTGCAGCAGGACAGTAGGAGGCTTGGGGAGGGGCATTTAAATGTCACACTAAGGAACTTCTATTTTATTTGGAGGTAATAGGGAGCCATTGATGGTTTCTGACCACAGAAGTAAAATCACATCCATGCACTAGGAAATTGCTGTGGAAGTGGTGTGAAAGATGAGTCAGAGAGGGGAGAGACTGGGAGCACGATGAGCATTTATAAAGCTATCCTGATAATCCAAATGAGAGGTAATAAGGGTCTAAATTTGGAAGGTGTCCATGAGATGAGAAGAGGGAATAGAATCAAGAGATATAACCAAGGTAAAATTGACAACACTTGGCAATTGACTATATGTGGGAAGTGAGGGAGAAGGAAGAATCAAAAATGACTACAAGATTTCAAGTCCTGGTAGGTGAGAAAAAGAAGTGCCATCCACAAAGATAGAGAAGCTGGCAAAGAGGCAGATTTGGGGGAGGGAAGATTATTAGTTCAGTTTGGACTGGGTTAAGTTGAAGATGATGGCTGGACATCTAAGGGGAACTGTTCATCCAGCTGGTAGAATTGTGTAATTGGAGCTGGGGAAAAATCTGGGCTGCGTGTGAGGATTTTGGAGCCATCTGCATAGATGTGATCACTGAATCCATTGCAGAGGAAGAGTTCACCAAAGAAGTGAGTGTAAGATCAGGAGAAAAGAGGATTGAGGATGGAATCTTGAGGAATAAAAGAGGGAAACTTACTTTACTTAGGGAGTTAAAAAAAAAAAGAAGAAACAGCAAAATATAACAAAAACAAAAAACAACCCAAGAAAGAAGAGTCACACAGTTAAGAGAAGCACAAAGACAAAGTAACATTAAAAAAAGCCAAGAGAAGGGATAGTATCAAGGAGAAGGAGTTAAGGATGTTGGAGTCTACAAGTCTTTCATAACTTAGTGCAGGTTGTTTTACTCAGTCTTTATTTTCTCTAGCAATAGACTGAGATCCATTAGAGCTGAGGGTAATAATACTGGGGAAAGGAGGCAGGAAGGGATCAAGGATATAATGGTAACGTTTGGAGTACAGCGCTTCACAGAAAGAACAGAGTAGGTGGAGGTCTCAGCGGGGGTCAATTACAGACAACAGGAAAACATTGCAAAGCTAAGAACCCAGAGCTGGGAGTAGAAAGAAGAGGCAGGGAGGTAACAAAGACAAACTTTATCTAATTCACAATTTTGTGCAGGTCAAACTCTGAAGACTTTCCCATGTTCCCAATCTCAAATGAACTTGAGAATCCTTAACTAGATAGGCCTCTATTTGACTGAGTATTACAGAGGTTTAGAGGATATTATTAGGCAGTCCCCTTAATCAAGTACAATAAGTAAGAATTCATACATCTATTTCCAAAGATTCCTTCCCTGGATAGTTCTTCCATGGGTTGTCCTTAAGATCTTGTTTATCATTAAGATCTTCTTCTTTCCCCGGATTTATTCTTGTTCATATCTTTGGGTCACCTTGGTCAACTGGGATTAGATCCATACTTAGTCATTGAGTAGGGTTGTTCAGCCTTATCTGGAATAATAGCTTGCCAATTTCTAGAATAAATCAAAAAATCACAGAATTTCAGAATTGGCAGGGACTCCAAGATAACGACAACAACTAACATTTATATAGTGCTTACTATATGCAAGGCACTATACTAAATGCTTTACAATTATCTCATTTGATCCTCACAACAACTCTGGGAGGTAGGTACTATTATTATCCCCATTTTGCAAATGTGGAAACTGAGGCAAACAGAAGTTAAGTGACTTGCCCAAGGTCACATAGCTAGTAAGTGTCTGAAGCCCGATTTGAATTCAGTGCTTTCTGACTCCAGGCCTGGCACTCCATTTGATACTCCATCTAGCTCCCTCAGAAATCTAACCCATATCTGAAAAGAATCCCCACTCCAACATACCTGACAAGGAGTATTTGCTTAAAGGCTTCAGTCTTTGCTTAAATGCCTCCTGTGGTATAACTAGACAATATCAAGCCATGTAGCTACACAGGTTATTATACCAGAAGGGGGTGAAGTGCCATCAGCTCACTCTTATTTGTTATTAGGCTCCCATCTCCCCACTGGGAGTCATTACAGTCGTATCCTCCATGAGTTTTCATCAAGGATAGAGCCATACCTTTTGTGTATGCCACCCAGCACCTGTGTGAACAGCAGGTTCTCAGTAAATGCCAACTAGCAATTTGCTAATTTATATCTAGTGAGTCTTGGGGGTTGGGAAGAAAGGAGAGAATTCTTTGGTTCTATAAATTGGTCTAGAGGGGTGGGTGTAGGTGGGAACAAACAAGTACGGCTTTTGAAATGTATACAAGTTGCAGAGATTTTAAGTTATGTCTCTGCATCATGCACCCCGTAGAGCAAGAGATGCTTGCTGCTCCCACTCTCCCCATATTCCTCTTCTGTTAAATTCCTGTTTGCCTTTAATGCAAGACCATTAACTCACTTCCCAGCCACACAGTCCTGAAAAGATTCCTTTCATCACTCTTTTTTATCCTCAGTGAAGCACACCCCACCTTCCCACCTAATCCATATATCATGATGTCATTGAGAACAGTGCAGCAGCATGTTGGAAAGCCTTGGCAAATAACTGAACACATCTTGCTCTGATGTCCTTATTTCCACCGGCATTTTCTGTTGCTCTGAATACTGTTAACTCCTGCGTTTGTGAAGTTACAACAACCTGTTTTGGAATCCAGCCCAAGCCAACCCTCTCCTCTCTACCTCCTGGGCCTTCTGCCTTTTGTAGCAACCTTGTCCATGGTTGGAGCAACAGAGCTCAGGGCTTCGTCTCACACTGAATTATATTGCTATAACTGGGTATTATCTGCTTCAGCCCTTTTATCCCACAATGAAATATACTTGAACCCTCCTCCAGGCTGAATAGAAGCACCAGATCAGAGCCAAGTTCAGTCTGATGTTTTCATTTGGAAATAACAGGTGAAACTTTAACACAGTTGTTTGTTCTTTTTACATTCTAGAAAACCAACAGGCATGCTGAAAAGCCACCTAGCTCCAGTGTTTTACCTCCACATCGCAGCAGAGGAGAAGAGAATATTTTCAATGTCCACTGACAATACAGTCAAGGTCTTTCCCCTTTTGTATCACATGTAGTAATGTAGTATGATTACAGATCAGCATCTGTGCTTTATTGTCTAGTTCTTGTCTGTTGTCAGCTTTGGGGACTCTGTAGCAATGTAAATAAATAGCACGTGAAATGAAGGGAGGGGTTGTGGAAGGGAAGCCCAGTTGGCAATGGGAGAATGAATGCCATGGGGCATCTTAAGGTTGGTGCATGGAGGTGGCTCTCAGGGCATTTTGGCATAGAGCTCCACTGCCCAAGGAAAAGAGGAGGCTCTTGCCAGTAGTTGTCTTTATATGTTGAAAGCCAAAAAGGGGATCTTTTTGAGAATTTGGTGCCAAATTTAAATATACCCACAATTGTTAAGGATCCCCCCCATCTCTTGTTAAGGATTCCCTCACCATAGCCAGGGGTATACCCTCTGGTATATAATTTGTATCATCATAACTGTATATTTGCATAACTGTACATTTGCATATGCATATATGTATATATCTACTATATCTACTATATTTGCATAACTGTATATGTCCCTCTGGTATATAATTTGTATTTGCATAGCTGTATATTTCTTCCTAGAATGTAAACTTCTGGAGGGAAGAGGCTGTTTTGTCATTGTTTCTATCCTCACCACCTAGGACAGTGCCTAGCACATTTAGGAAGCTGACCTGTGATTTCATGGGTGAGGGGAATTCCCAGGATGGAAACTCCTTACAATGAAGCAGATCAGCACTTTTCTCTAATTTGCAATCTAAGGAGTTGTCATTGAGAAATTACATGACTTGCCCATGGTTACCCAGATAGTGTGGGGCAAAGGTGGAATTTCAACCTAAGTCTCTGAGGCCCAACACCAAGCTCAGTTAGCCATGTTGTCACTTATGAAGAATGTAATAACTAGCCAGTCAATAAGCATTTATTAAATGCCTACTATGTGCCAGGCATGTGCTAAGTGCATTTAGTGTTTGTTGAATCAATCAGAAGTCCAATGTGAAGAGACATGAAAAGATGAGGGACTTGCCATTAGAGGCTTTTTAATTTTTATTTTAACTCTGCAAAAGGCAAAAGAGTCTTCTATCATCATTTGACCCCTATTTTAAAAGATGCTGCTGTCTTGAGGATTATAATGACAGAAATAGCACCCATCATTGTTCACTTGGTGTTTACCCCTTACTTTATATTTCTGAGTAGGAACATGGATTTAGATCTCGAAGGCACCTTAGAGATTGTGAGGCCTAACTCCCTTATTTTACAGATATGGGACCTGAGGTTCAGAGATATTAAGTGACTTGCCCAGGATCATATAGCCAGTATATATCAAAGTCAGGACTTGCACCCAGGTCTTCCTGGCTCATAGGCAAGCTCTCTAACTACTCCACAACACTGACTTTTTTTTTTTAGGTAATTGGGGTTAAGTGACTTGCCAAGATTCACACAGCTAATAAGTGTCTGAGGCTAGATTTGAATTCAGCTCTTCCTAACTCTAGGAACAGTGTTCTCTATTCACTGCGCTACCTAGCTGCCCCACCACACTGACTCTTACAGAGATTTGTCAAAACAATAATATGTCCTCTTTCACATAAAAGAGTGAGACAACCTCCTAATGGCCTCAGAAGTCATCTCTAGTCTAAAACTTACCTGAGAAGAATCCCTACTCCAACATACCTGACCAGGAGTAATCCAGTCTTTGCTTAAATACCTCCAGTAAGGGAGACCTGTTCCGACAGTGGCCATAACTGGACAATGTCAAGCAGAGTAGCCACATGGTCTGTTATACCAGAGAGGTATCTCACCATCAGTTCAGGCCATGTGAAGTGTTCACCAATGGAAGTTCCAGTTTTATATCATACTCTCTCTACACACTCCTTGTTACCTACATTAGCACATGTTTGTGATATGATTAGCCAGGATTAGGAGTGAGGAAGTCAGAGGAAGATTCGATTCAACATACATCAAGTAGTAGTACTAGGTACTGGGAAAGATATGATGATAAATAAGACCTTAGAGACTAGAAGGGAGACATGGCAAATATACAGAATTTCAGAATTGGAAAAGACTTGAGACCATCATAGAAAACCACATACCTGAACAAGACCTCCCCCCCCAAAATTCATTGGACAAGTGGTCATCTAATTTTGTTCAAAGACCACTGGTAAGAGGAACCTCTTGGGGCAGGTAAGTGGCACAATGGACAGAGCACCAGTCCTGGATTCAGGAGGACCTGAGTTCAAATCCGGCCTCAGACACATAACACTTACTAGCTGTGTGACCCTGGGCAAGTCACTTAACCCCATTGTCTAGCCAAAAAAAAAGAAAGAAAGAAAGAGGAACCTCCCAAGACAGCCCATTCCATTTTTTAACACCTCTTACAATTAGGAAGGGCAGCTAGGTGGCATGGTGGATAGTGTTGGGCCTGGAGTCAGAAAAACCTGAGTTCAAATCTGGCCTCAGATACTTACTTGTTATGTGACCCTGGGCAAGTCACTTAACTCTGTTTGCCTCAGTTTCCTCATCTGTTAAATAAGCTGGATAAGTAAATGGCAAACTACTCCAGTATCTTTTCCAAGAAAACCCCAAATGGGGTCATGAGGAGTCACTCATGACTAAAAACAAGTCAACAACAACATGATTAGAAAGGTCTTTTTCATGTCAAATCTAAATTTTCCTCTTTGCAAATTCTACCTATTACTCCGGCGTCATCTTAGACCAAGCAAAACAAGCCTAATATTTCTACCACATTACGGCCCTTCAAATACTTCAATAGAGCCAGTGTTGCCCTGGTAAATGTTTAACAACTGGCTTTCTGCGGGGGGGAAATGAATTGATGGCACACTTTGAAGTTGAATCTGTGTTATTGACATTTAGACAATCAACAAAACAATCAATGAAGCTTGGATTTGTAGCATTTCCTGATTTTCAAGGTGTAAAGGCTCACACTGAAAATAACAATTGACTCTTGAGGACTCTAGCATACCCCTGAATATAGCCATCTTGTCCTACCCTACCCTGCCAAATCTTTTCTTCTATAGCTTAAATATTCCCTTTTCCTTCAGCCAATTCCCGTATGACACAGACTCAAGGCCCTTCATTATCCTGGTTGCCCACCTCTGAATGTACTCTAGCTTATCAATGCTCTTCCTAAAAATTGGTGTCCAGAACCAAAAACAGTGTTCCAGATGCGGAATATTGACTAACCCTCACTTGTGGTTGTTCGTCATTCATTTCAGTTGCATCCTACTCTTCTTGACCACATTTTGTGTTTTCTTGGCAGAGATATTAGAGTGGTTTGCCATTTCCTTCTCCAGCTTATTTTACAGACAAGGAACTGAGGCAAACAGGGTTAAGTGACTTGCCCAGGGTCACACAGCTAGTAAGTGTCTGAAGCTGGATTTGAACTCAGGTCTTCCTGACTCCAGGCTCAGAGCTCTATCCACTGTGCCACCTAGCTTTCGTAAGCCTCCCTTAGTCTAGGACAAGTCTCTAAGACTCTAAGTTTTACACAGGTTATGATTAGCTTCAGTGAACTATTGACATAAGTGCATTTCTGTGATGTGCTAGGATAAGATCTGGACCTACGATGAGCCAGATGAGGAAACTACCTCGGGACAGGTAGCAGATTATTTTTTTATTCATATGAATTTAAAGATCCCCCTCTACTGCCCTGGAAGAAATAACTTGATGAAGTAGGAAGAACCCTGGTTCCAGAGTCAGAAGACCTGGGCTCTAGTCTTGCCTCTGACACTACTGCCTATGGAAGCTTGGGTGAGTCACCCTCTCTGGACCTCAGATTCCTCATCTGGAAAAGGAGGGGGCTTGGCTGGATGATCTGGAAGAGATCTAGATCGATGATCCCATTATACTATGATCTCACTGACTTTCACATGGCATAGCTGCCACCTGCCACTGTTTCTTGAACCATGGCCCACTCCTTCCCCCCCGCAGCCAAACCTAATGGACAGAGTGGAAGGGCTTAGCAACAGAACACAGACTTGGTAAGTAAACTGAGTGGAAGGAGAAAATAGAAAGGAATGCTGATAAACGATATCCTCCCTTCCCCGTGTTGCCCCAGGTATATTGTTAGTGAATTCAGATACAACAGAACTATGCCTCCCTCCAGAGAAAACTAACCTCAGTGCTGTGGGAAACATGCCTTTGCCCTGCTTTCCAGAGAATGAGACTGTGTGGAGGAAGGATCAGGGAATTGGATAACTCCAAGAAATTCTCGCAAACACATATTTCCATGAAGGTACTTTGGTGGTTTGCATCATGTTAAACATTGAATTATCTGTTCTAGAGAGTAGAGTAGGGCACATGGTAGGTACTCAGTATACATCTTATTGATCAGTTAACTTATTAATTTACTTCATCTCCGATGACCAGTGATCAGGTCTAATGTTTTTTTTGAGAATGGGTATTCCTATCTCACCTAGGCTAGAAAGCGGTAGTCACTCCTGGGTCCAATCTCTACTACTGGTTGACATAGAAGCTCTGACCTGCTCCATTGTTGACATGGGCCAGCTTGTCTCTCCTTAAGCAGCCCCTGCTCCTGGGGACTCACTATATTGGAACCAGAAATAGTGTGAACACCTGATTGGCTTAAGCCCTACTGCAGCTCAGAACTCCTGAACTCAAGACAGCCTCAGCTTCTCCAGCAGCAGGGATTATAGGCATTATAATCCACTATACCCCAACATGATTCTTATGTGGATGGATTGGACACTGATGTATTCTTTGAGCTATAGGTCACAATAGTCAGCTTGAATTCTATGCAATAATATTAAGGCCCGAAAGCAGGGTTATTCTCTCCAATTTCTTGAGGAAAAAACTGAGATACGTTGTTCAGTCATTTCCAATTCTTCATGACCCCATTGGGGCTTTCCTTGGCAGAGAAACTGGAGTGATTTGCCATTTCCTTCTACAACTCATTTTACAATTGAGAAAACTGAGACGAACAAGGGTAGGGCCCTACAACTAGCAAGTATCTGAGGCCAGATTTGAACTCATGAAGACGAGTCTTCCTGATTCTAAGCCCAGTGCTTTATCCACTGTGCCACCTAGCGGCCCCAAACTGGGATGTAACAAGACTAAATTTAGTTGCCCAAGGTCACATATTCATTGATACAGCAAGGAACCCTACTTCCCCCTCAATCTTCTGGGCAAACATAACTAATATGGTAAGATTTGCAAACTTTGTTTTGATAAGGATCATTAAAGATTAAATGCATGAAAAGGCATTAACAATTCCTTCCAATTTCAATTTGAAAGCTTCATTTTTTAAACATTCCAGAGAAGTGGGTTTTTTTTCCCCCCTAAATTGCTTTTGCTCTCCAATCATGAAAACTGTATGTGTGGGTAGGTGTCATATATTCTACTTTATTTCCCATGTGTCTTTCCATATTTTCCCAATCTGTATCCATCATTACAAGATTAACATCTTGCCTATGATGATTCAGGCACGTTTGAATCACTTCCTAAAATTTGTTTAAAATACACTGAAATCATATCCTTGAAATATGGTGTGTAAGTTGCTTCTTAATATATTATCTTATTCAATGCACATTAATCATAGAAGGCCCAAACAGCTGAATCTGGCATCTTTGCTTTTTTAAAATTGCTTTTTCAATCCATATGTTTCACTTTCCTAATTCATGGAAACCCCTTACAAGGGCTTCCTGAGTGCTGTTAGCCTTCTTAAATGTACATACAATTTCTTGAATTTTTAGTCTTACTTTATTGTCTTGCAATATATAACATTGATTTTGGAATCAAAAGACCTGGGTTCAAATCATACCTGTGTGATTGTGAGTAAGTCCCTTCATTTCTCTGGACCTTAATTTCCTTATCTATATAATAAGGGGAGGGAAGAGAAGGGAAAACAGATAGTCTCTGAGATCTCTTTTAGTTCTAAATCTGTGATCTTATGTTCCTATTTGGCATTTTCTGGGCCTACAAAAATGCCAACTGAAAAGGAAGCTACCATTTAGGAAAGGGGGTGAGAACAGGAAGAAGACCATTCCTGAGTTGTTCAAATATTGATCTTAGATGTAACTAAGGTTAGTCCCAGGCAAAATTTTGTCTTTATTGCTTCCTTTTTGTTCCTTTCTCCCTACCCTTGGTAATCTCTCCTTTGCCCAGGCTGCCCATTGTGACACCACCACACCCCTAAGCCTGCCTTCCCTGGACCATACCATCTACTCTGAAATGATCTCCCCTCCAATCCCAGCAAAACTCCCATTTCCTCAGTGCTCTAAGGAAAGCAGCTGATGAGCTAATTCATACTGAAGTATAAATGACTGGTAATAATAAAAATAACAATAGCAATTTATATAGTACTATAAGGTTATAAAATGCTGTCCATGTCACCTTAATTTGATTAATGACTTAATTTCTTCCTCCCACAGGTAGCTATATTTTAAAAAATGTTTATAGCAGTTGCAACAAACAGATAATTATTAAGAATCTACAATGTGCTTTAAGTATTAAGTATCTACAATTCATTCATTCCTTCAACAAGCATTTATTAATTACCTATGTTCCAAAAACTGTGCCAGAGGATCCTAGGACTGCGGATACCAAGGCAAAAATGAAACAAACCCTGTCCTCAAAGAACTTATATTCTATTGACTGTGATAGGCACTGGGGGAAATACAAAGTTAGATAAAACTTGGTTCTTGCCTTCAATGAGTTTCCAGTCCTGCACAGAGATAAAACAAAAACACAGATAATGATAATGTACTAGCTTTCCCTTGACACTCCAGTTCAATCACCAATATATTATGGCCAATTAATATAAAACATAACTTCAGGTACTGAACTGAGGACAAGCCAGGGACAGAATTCTAGACTCCCATTCTGCCCACAGCTAGACAATAGTGTCATAGTCTCTGTACCAACTCACTGGTTATTTTGAGAGTGACCATGCTAAGTTTGTCAGAGTTAGGAAACAAAGTGCTATATGACACCTGAGGGGGAAATTGTTGTTGGGGAGGGGAAGGAGAGAGACAGACCAGGAAAGGCTTCCTGGAGGAGTTGGCATTTGAACTGATATTTAAGGAAAGGATGGAAATTCAATAGGACAAGAAGAGGAGGGAAGGCATTCTAGGACCTGGGAAGAGCACAAGAAAAAGCCAGTATAGTGTGTATTCAAGGAAGAGATTCAATTGGTTAAGCTGAATTAGATTTCAGAGGGGAGTAATTAAAATGAATATATTAAGTTTTTAAAATATTTTATGTTTTATTTTATTACAATTTACACATAAAAACAATTTTTAACAAATTTAGATTTAAATTCTCTCTTTTCCTCCTTCCCTCCTGTCCCCTCCCTCTCCTTGAGAAGACAGGAGATGCAATGTAGATTATATATGTACAGTAGTGCAAAATATTTTCCACAATATATCAAGTTTTAAAAGTCCAGTCTGTGTGAGTCAAGTAGGTGGATGAGGATCCTTTGCATCAAGGATTTCTGGATGGAGTTCTTTAAAGAGAAAGAAAGCACTAATACCCTTCCCAGAGTTTCAGGTAGTCAGCAAATTACTTCTTTATGATGAAAAATTACACGTATGGCCTAAGAGATTGCCCAGACTGGATCTTCATCTTGAGTTGCCTTGTATTTATTTACACCTATTCTCTTTATATTTATTCTATAGATACTAAGGCACCTACTTGTCCTCTCCCTCTCCCACTAGAATGTAAGCCTTTTTAGAGAAGAGATTATTTTATTCACTGTGTTTGTATCCTTAGTGCTTAGCATAGTGCCTAGCATGTAATAGGCACTGGTTTATTGCTTGATTGAACTAGAAGTATAAATATCAATGCTATCTAGCAGCCTCAGCATTGCAAAAGAAGTCTCTGGAGTTTGAGATGAAAAGGTGGTAACAAGCATGCAGAGTGAGGTTCTCCACAGAAGATCCCAGAAGTCTGTTCAATTTGCAACGCGCAGGAGCTAAGGGAACATTTTTTATTTATTTGATTTTTTTTGGGGGGGGGGGGCAAGAGACTTTATAAATACAAATTTATGACAGAGGCTAGACCTTCACCTCTACCATACAACAGATGGCTGCTTTGCATAAGCATGAAACGCAGTGGGGGCCTTTCCAGGAACAAAGTGCCTGCTTCTGAGATGAACACCCCCTCGGGGGCACGTGGCTCTGAATGACACTTTCCCTCTGTCTTCCCACCCAGATCTGGGATCTGGAGAACCACAACTGCTTGTTCACTGCCTGCCCCAAAGCCAGCGGCATCCAAGGGGAGCTTACAGCTTGTCACTACCTGTCCAACATCAAAGCACTGTGTGTTGCCACAGATTCTGTCTCTCTCCTGCATCTAAGGATGAGGTACGTGACTTGGCTTGTCAGCCTAAAGAGGTCAGCTCTCCTGCAGAGGATATTGGGTATATTCTCCTCTTCTGGGCCTTCAGTCTCACTCCTGCCTTCCTCTATCCTTGTCGTCATCTCTTAGTATGAAGCCATATTATAAGCCCAAAGGATCACCCATCTCATGGCCAAGTGATCCATGTCGATGATAGAAGTTACCAGGAATTCTTTCACCTAAGGAAAAAACAGTTGTGTGGGAATGACAGGTGGTGTCGTAGAAGGTAGTCTCTTTGTAAGTGCATCTGCATTGGGGGAGGTAGATCAGAGAGTGTTTTCCTGATCTACAAGAAGGTTAAGAGGAAAGGGGGTAGGGCTTGGAGAAGCCCATCACAAAAATAGAACCCTGGGGGTGGTTGTGCCATAGACCAGTGGAGGACCTTGAAGTGAGAGGAGGAAATATCTTCTGAGGGGCCTCCCTGGGTACCTTCTTAGATACTGACACCCTGGGACAAAACCCTATTCCACGCCAGTTATGACTATGGTGGGAGGTACCTCTTTGACTAAATGTTGTAGATGAGAAGAAGTGAAAAGTGTCTGATGTGATCTACAGGCTCTTTCCCAATTTTATCTCATGGTCCAGGGATGTTCATTTGCTATCAGAAGAGCCCCAGTAGCCTGACTACTAAGTCACCATTGATACTAGTGCTTGAAGCTGGAGCCCTACCTAGATGTCAAGAGAGGACATTAAAAAGTGAAAGCTTCAGTCAGGCAATCTATTCCATGGGATAGCACAGATAGTTGATTGATTTGGGGGGGGGGGGGCGAAGTGACCTTATTTCAGCATCACTGTGTCACAGACTCAGTCTCCAGGGTCAAAAGTCCGACACCAGTTGGTGCTTTCCTGTCCTTGTTTCTCCTCTCACTCCTGTCTTCCCCCTAACTCTCATTCCACCTCACACCTCCTCTCTTCAGTTGCTCTCTTTCCTCTCTATCTTCTCTCTTACCCTCTCTCTTGCCCTCGCCAAGGGCATTGTTCTGTAGCTCAACGATAGAATCATAGAGAAGAGCAGAAATGTGCTCTGACCATGCTCCTCTCTACAGAGTGGGGCCAGGAAATCACAAAGATCCTCTCATCAGAGTGTCTAAGCCTTGATCTCAGTAATTAGATATTAGTAACCAGATCATCATCATCATCATCATCATCATAACTAGCATTTATAAAGCACTTTAAAGTTTACAAACACTTTACAGATATGGTCTTGTTTTATATTCACAACAACCCTGGAAGGTAGATGCTACCTGTATAACGGAGATGATCTCATCATCCCCATTTTGCAAATGAGGAAATTGAGGCGGACAAGAAATTAAGTGATTTTTCCAGGTTCACAAAGTTAGTGTCTAAGGTTGGATTTGAACTCAGGTCTTCCTGACTCCAGGTCCAGTGATAGTGTAGAAATTGTGATGGGGCAACAGAAAGGGACTCATATAGAATTGCCCAGACCAGAGGCGGGGAACCTCTTCAAGGCCACATGTGGCCCTCTAGGTTCTCAAGTGCGGCCCTTTGACTGAATCCAAACTTCACAGAACAAAACCCCTTAACGAAAGGATTTGTTCTGTAAAACTTTCCCCAAAGATATGTCATAGTTTCGTAGGATTTAGAACACCCTTACCAATCATCTCGTCCAAAATTCTAATGAATTTAGTGATTCATAAAAGGAGAATGAGGGTGTGGTGATCATGCCCATTTTGTGGAGTCTAGACTTGCCTTCACATCATGGCCCTGCAGACCTGAAAAGAGTAATGTAATGGGAAACTAGATTTATTGTATACTTTACTGAGCATATATAGCTCTGGCTAGTGGTGAAGAATGGATTTGACACAGATACATATCTCAAAGAAATTTCTCTTCTGGATACGTGTCCTTATATGTTTTAGGAGACAGTGTGCTATGGTGAGTAGAGCACTGGATTTGGAGTTAGGAAGACCAAAGTTTGAATCTTGCCTCAGTATGTGACCTGAACAAGTAAATTAAATTCTCTGAGCCTCACTTTCCCCATTTGCAAAAGGAGGGGGTTGGAGTCAGTGGCCTCTCAGATCCCTTTTAGCTTTAAATCTATGATCATATGATTTTATAAGACGCTTCCCATTCTCCTCTCTTCTGGGGATGTTCTCACATCACTCCTACCTCGTCCCTGGCTGAATTCCACTTAAACAGTTGAGGCAGCTAGGTAGCAGAGGATAGAACCCTGGGCCTGGAGTTAGGAAGATCTGAGTTCAAATTTGGCTTCAGACGCTTACTAGCTGGACGAGTCACTTAATCCCTGTCTGCCTCAGTTTCCTTCTTATTGGTCCTGGTTTACACATTGACCTACTTTCCCCTTCATTCTCCCCTATATACTGCCTGAATTCAACTTCACCCCAGATTCACTTATTTTTCCACTCCTCAACTCTCTACAGGATCCCTTCCATCACTGTTCTATCACCGTGTTCTATGTATAAATTGAGTCCCTCTCATACCCCTCCACTAGCTCTGGAAAATAGGGATAATATTAGCTCTTACCTCCAAGGGTTGTTTTGAGGATCGAGTGAGATAATATTTGAAAAACACTTAGCACAGGGCTTACACACAGTAGGCAATTTATAAATGCTTGTTTCCTTTCTTCCTTCCTGAACATCAGTTGTAGATGTCTTGTCTGTTGCTATTTGCTACAATAGCTTTTCACATGGCCCTGTCTGAGCCCTGCTCTATTGTCTTGGTAACTTGCCAAGACTAGAAGATCATTGCTTCTGTTCATTCTTAGTCCTGAGTTTATTTTCTGGCCATCAGTCTTTCTTTGGCTTCCACTGATGATGCATTCTCATTATGGTTCTTCTCGTAGGTATCTCTCCATTAATGTCCTCCATATAGATATCGGGTGTAACTCATGGGTCAGTTTCTTATATAAAGGCCTTTATTTCTCTACCTGTCAGAACTTCACCCTCTACCTACCTGAGTGCAACAGTGGAGTCAAAAAGGTCTAAGTTCACATTCTGCTTCAGACACGGACTGTGCCTCTGTGACCCTGGATAAGTCACTTAACCTCCCCAGACTCAGTTTCTTCATCTATAAAATTGTACTGCCTCACAAGACTCTTGTGAAGATCAAATGAGATAGCATATTAAAATGCCTTGCAAAGATTAAAGGACTAGATACATGCAAGCTATTATTAATGATTAAGAGAATGTGTTTAAAATCATGCCTTCTTAATGTAAAATTTGCTTAAATATCATACCTTTCTGGACTGGCATTTTCCTCAAACCTTTTCTTGCCTCAACCTTTGACTAGTTTTTCTTAGTCAGTATAATACTCTTGGCCTGGATCCCTGTAGAAACCGCCTTTTGTGTTTGTTTAAAGTTTCACAAGCACCAAATGTCACCTTGTATCCCTCGCAAGAGATTGTTATTCTGTGAGCCTATTTTATGGAGTCAGGAAGAAATTTCAGAGCTGATGTATGGTTGTTAGGAATTGAGAGTCTGTTCTGGATGGGGGATCATCAAGAAGGAACAAAGACTGAGGCATAGTTATTGGTGATCACAATGCCTTTGTCAGGACACAGTGACGTGGAACACTAGTGGGAATAAGAGCTAGTTGAGAGGTATGAGAGGGACTCAGTTTATACATAGAACACGGTGATAGAACAGTGATGGAAGGATCCTGTAGAGAGTTGAGGAGTGGAAAAATGAGTGAATCTGGAGTGAAGCCAAATTCAAGGAGTATATATGGGAGAATGAAGGAAAAAGTAGGTCAATGTTACTTGTATTATAGGACCAGAGAAAAGGAAAGTAATTACTGGATGTGCATTGAATCTTGATCTGAAAGAGAATGGATACAATGGAAATGTGGTGTTCCCCCACCTCCATTATCATAGGTACACATACAGACATACATAAACACACACACTCTCTCCCCTGTCTCTGTCTCTCTGTTTTTCTCTGTCTCCCTGTCTCTGTCTGTCTTGTCTCTGTCTTTCTGTCTCTGTCTATATGTCTGTCTGTCTCTGTTTCTCTGACTCTGTCTTTCTGTCTCTGTCTATGTGTCTGTCTGTCTCTGTCTCTCTAGAGAGAGAGTGAGAGAGAGTGAGAGACAGAGAGACAGAGACAGAGAGTTACACAGAGAGAGACAGAGACAGAGACAGAGAGAGAGACAGAGAGAACTCAGATTTTTGTCTCATACTGTTTAGCAAGTACAATGTACCAAAAGTCTGCATTTTCTCAGATCCCAGGTCTTCTTCATTCATTTTGGAGGTGGATGGAAGGGTGACCCAAGTCACAGAATAAATATGATGGTGTGGGAGGAAGCCTCCAGATTGATTTTCATGACTTAATTTTGTTTTTCATGATCTAGAGCTCTCCCTGAGCCTCACCTGGTGGTTTCTCACAAAGAGCCCATAGTGTGCTGCAGATACAACAAGACATTTGGACACGTGGTTAGCTGCTCAGAAGGGTCTGTAAGTATCAGGTCATTCCAAAAATGGTAATGATATCTCTGAGTGGTGAGGCACCTAGAGTATGGGATGCAGGTAGCCAGCATAGACTCTCACAGCCAAGACTCCCCTTAGAAACCTGAGCAAGAAGACCTAGTGACTAAAGCAGGGGAAACCAAGGAATTATTTCTCAAGCAACTGCTATGAGCTCACCCTTTATCCCCCTATGAAGTATAGAAAAAGAAATAGAAGGTGCTGTCTTTGAAGATCTTAGTATTCTACCTATGGCCACCATGTCAATGACTACCAGAGGCAGTGAGTAATTTGGGGCAATTTCCATTTTCACAGACCTTATTTAGTTAACAACAGATGCATTAGAGAAACAATATGGTGTAGCACAGAGGTTCTCAAACTTTTTGGTGTCAGGACTCCTTTATACTTCTAAAAACTGTTGAGGGCTCCTTTATACTCAAAAAAGAGTGTTTGTTTATTTGAGTTGTATCTACCAATATTTACCATATTATAAATAAAACTGACAAAAATTTAAAATACTTATTATTTTAAAAATAATATTAAATCCATTACATGATAACATAAATATTTTATTAAAAATAATTATATTTTCCAAAACAAAAAATATTAAAATAAAAATACCTTCACAGATAACTATAATACAAGTAAGAACATAAGTGAATAGGAAAGATCCAAACAGGGCAGTATGAAGAAATTGAAAGACAAAAAACAAAAACAATGCAAGTATTTATTAAGCACTTACTGGTGCTAAGTAGTAGGAATACAAATATAAGCTTTGCCCTCAAAGGACTTACATTCTAATGGGAGATGATGTGCTAAAGGAAGCTGAAAAGTAAGTGGGTTGGGTGAGGAGAGAAAGGAACCTGAGAAGGGGCCACAACAGAGGAAGTCTGAAGTACAAAATACAGCCTGGAAAGGAATGGAGACGTGACTGGTCTGGGAGCCATCATTCAATGGGAGTTCTGGGAGGAGCCATTTAATCACAGACAGAGGGTGCAGAGATGGAGGGTACGTCCAGTGTGTAAATTCCAGGTCTGGAGTGAGTTTCCAGGATGAAGAAGTTTCTGGGGAATGTAGAGAAGTCCAAGGTTCAGTCTAGAGAGGAATGAGGAGGGGATATCACTTCTAGCTGAGGGCACCAAGAAAGGCTTTATGGAACAGGTGGCACCTGTGTTGGACCTTGAAGGAAGTGAGGGATTTCAACAGCTGGGGGTGTCAGGAGGGACAAATGGAGGCTTGGAGGACAGCAGTGAGCAAAAGAACTGATTAGGGTAGCTTTAATTACTTAGGTTGAGCTTTAGTCACCTCTCATTGAAATGAATTATTTTGTGGTTTCTGTGGCAGGCAGCTATAAGTCCTTCCCTTTGAATAAATATCAGTATAGGATGAATCTTGCTTCTTATAATGTTTTGTATATAGGCCCAAATACCCTACTTTCCAAAATAATTGGCTTTGCTGAGGCCTCCTTATCTCTACATTTATTTCAGCTCTTCTCCCAGAGCCACACACGTTTATATTTTCTCTGCATATGTTCTTGCCATATGTCCACCTAGCGGAACAGTAATGTCAATAAGCATCACATTTTTTATTAATTCTCTCAATAGATTATCTGGTCTGTTGACCAGAGTCTATTTGAGGTCGTGGCTCCATCCCAAGATACCTCAAAGCAACTACTTTCCAGTACATTCTTGAGCTTGTAAATATAATAAACTATTTTTCTCCAAATGCTCTAACATGTGTTATCCATTCTAGTGAAACCGGTCTGCTCACTGTCCCCAGATAGATTATGCTCATTCCTTCCTCTATGCCTTTTCTTATGCTTTGAAGCCCCTCATCTTTCACTTCTATCCAAATCCTGTTGAACCTTGAAGGCCCAGCTGAAGTCTCATCCCCTCCACAAAGCCTTCCTTACTACCCTAGATTCCTCAATCTCTCCCCATTCCTGCCTTTATGTGGTGCTATACCACATATTTGGGCATTTAGAAGGATGATACTAAAATGAATTGTCACAATCAGCAGTTTCTCCATGATGCCTTTAATACACTACTACCAAAGCCCACTATGATGTCGTCAGCCTAGTTACCCATGGTGCTTATAGACTCCATACTGGGCTCATAGATTTAGAGCTGTTCAGCAAGTCCAACCTCTGCATTTTATAGATGAAAAAACTGGTTCAGAGACCTTGGGCAGGTCATATAGGCAGTAAGGGGCAGATTTGCTGTTTGAATCCAGATCTTCTGACTCGAATTTCTATGTCCTTTTTACTGTACCATGCTAACAAGACAAATTGAATCATCATAGCCAAATGTTTCCTATATGATTATTTCACTTAATACACATTTTAAATACTTTTTTTTTTTGCTAAACCAATTAATGGTGTGAGGTAGGGGGTATGTGTGGTTGTATTCTGTCTTATACTGCTTATGCCTTAAGTATCATCCTCTATAGAAACAGAATGGTCTAGTGCAATGATCCCCAAACAAAAGGCTGAAGGCTGAAGACCTCTTGCTTCTATAGAGTCACTATGGAATAAGGACTTTGTGGAGTAAGAACCCCATAGAACACAGAGGTCTCAGCCTTCAAAATAGGGGGTCTGTGAATCCATATGTGCACACAAGACTGTCATTTTGATCTCTATTCAGCTCTGACAAAATATGTAGTGTGACTCAATATGTATGATAACTAAGTGAACATGCCATCTGTAGATTGAATACTGTCTCCTTCATATATATATTACTGTTTCCAAATGCATGCAGATATTTTGATTAATAAAATAAAAATTTAAAGATGTTACTAAATCACAATAGCTTTTTGTCATCATTGATTTTCTCAATAATTGATATTAATAGTACAACTAACTCCAATAATATAAAAATTCACTTAAAGATATTACTGAATCAGAGTAGCTTGTCATCATTGATTTTCTCAATAATTGATATTAATAGTACAACTAATTCTGCGTGGGGATGCTCAGAATACTTTTCTAAATTTAAAAATGGATCCCTATATTCAAATGGGATAGGAGACACTGGTGTAATTGAGAAATCACTGAACTTGGAATCAGAAGACCTGGGGCTAAGTCCCAAGTGGGACACTTACTAGCTATATGACTTCCTAAATGACAACGGTCAAGTCACTTAACTTGTCTGTGCCAAAGTTTTCCCATTTTCATGATACTGCGCTTTCCTGATTCTCCACTTACCTAACTGTTCCTTCTCAGTCTCCTTTCCTGGATCATCACTCACATCATACCCATGTCTGTGAGTTTCCCCCAAGGTTCTATCTTAGCCCCTCTCCTTTGAATCTACACTCCCTTTCTCTTAGATACCTCTTCAACTCCCATAGAGTTAATTACAATCTCTTTGAATATGATTCCTATATTTATCTATTTTGGTATGTATGTGTACATGTATGCACATGTAAATACATATGTGTGTATACATAGACTCTTTGGCGCTCTCTTGAGGTTTAGAGTCATATGATCAATTACCAAAATTGGACATTTCAAACTAGATTTAAGGTGTAGACACCTCAAACTCAACAAGTCCAAAACAGAACTTATTATCTTTTCTTCCAAATCCTTCTCTTTTAAATTTCCCTTTTACTGTCTCCCCAGATTTGCAATTTCAATGTCATCTTTGGCTCCTCATTCTCACTCACCCTATATATCTAATCATTTGTCAAATTTCTTCTGTTTCCAGTCCTCCTCTTCACCCACATGGACACCACTGTAATTTAATCCCTCATCACCTCTTTCTTGAACTATTATAATGGCTTCCTAGTTGGTCTGTCTACCTTAAGTTTTTCCTTAATCCAATCCATCTTCTATATTACTGTGAAAATGATTCTCTTAAAGTTGAGATTTGACCATGTCACTCTCCCCATTCTGCACACAAACACTCAATAAACCCCAGTAGCTCCCTGTCAAATATAAACTCTGTTTGGCATTTAAAGCTCTTTATAGACTTATATGTCATATTGCCAAAAAGGTGGCAGACTAGAAATTTTCTCAGTCCTTACATCCTTTCAGATGTCTCCAAAATAAGAATTATGCACAACAGATAAAGTAATAATAGCCATCTCCATAGACTAATCCACTAAGAACCCAAATGAGTCAATAGTCTAATAAATTAATAGCAGAGAAGGCTATTCCTCTAATATGCTTACTCAGTACCTCCCTTCCCTACTGGCCTCCATGCTCTAGCATGTTGTGTACAACAGCACCCATAGGCTTGTGCTTTAGGAGCCACTCAGGAATCTCCTTGCTGCAGCTACCAGAACACCCCTTCATCCACCTTTGCCTTCTCCTCACAATTCTGTGGCAACAAACAATAGAACTCAACTCAATGAGGAACAGTGGAGGTATAGCAAAGTGGGGGGAGGGGGTTGCTCTACCAGGGATTGCAGTGTATGTTCTTCTATAGTAGCACAGCCAGAGCACTAAGGAATAGAGGAGACTGGGACAAGGGTACCAGACCTGAAGGAAAGAAGACTGGCATCCAGCTGAAGTGGGTTCTGCCCTCCCCTGCAGTCACCTGGAGCAGAGACTGAGGCCAGTGAAAAGTGACTTCCCTAGCATGGGAGTAGGCTGAGACAACTTTGAGAGCCCACCTAGGGGGAATCTATCACTGTAGAGGAAGGAATTAGAAAGTGAGCAATAAGGGAATATAAGGAAAAAAAGATGGAAATTTCTAAAAATCTCAGGAGGAAGAAAAATCAGTTTAAAAATTTGAGTACAAGCATATAAACCAACAGAGAAGATATTAATAACAGAAGAGAAAATGTTCTCCAGATCATCTAAATGAGTTCATGCATCTCTAAATAAATATTATAATACAAAGGAAAATAAATCAATACCTGATCAGGTAAAGGGCCCTATGGATTCCAAAGAGAACATGGAACCACAGTAAGATGTTCCCAAATGATTCAAGAGAGAAATAGGAATTATAAAAGCAGATCTTGTGGCCTGCACAGCAGAAGTAAGTGACAGA